GCACGAGTGAGCAGAGCTGACTCCAGAAAGGCCCCTGTATTCCGCGGAAGACGCAGAGACGGTGGCTGCCAGCTCCTTTTCTGTTTTTTCGTTTTTAATACTAATTTAGTCAACTGAGCTAACCTAAGGCAGTGTGTGGGTTACATTTTTTTTTAATTGCTGCAAATGAAATGCATAATTAAATGTCGTAAATTAAAAATTGACACTGGGATGATCTCACTACCTCTGATTAAATAAAATAAGTCACCCCAAAATGTGGGGAAAGCCGCCGATCCTTCCATAAATGAATGTCACAGGCCTCTGAGGGGAGCCTTCTTCTCCATCACCTGGCGAGATGCTTACAAACCACTGGAGCAGAGAACAATCCTGAGTCCCCACCTGGCATCCTGGGGTTTAAGGAGTCAGGCAGGAAACCCAGGCTGCAAAACCTTCTTCCCAAGCTAAGAGCCCCACCCGCCATATGAACACCTAGTGAACTTGGTCAGACAATGCAGTGACAGGAGAATGCGGGCCTGGGCGATGGCGAAGTCGAGGATCCAGAGTCCCAACAGCAGGATGTGAACCGGTGTGTCGCACCGAATTAGCGTGAGTCAATTCAGAGTGACTCAACCAGCACCACCTAGAGGCGCCTCATTACTTAGTAGAATCTGAAGTATCTTCAGCCCCAATCTTCCTCCTAAATACCAGACTCGGCCCCCTCCCACGTGCCCCCTGAGGTGCGGCCCCAACACTTCCATCAGCACCGGCAGACCAGACGCCATGGGCTTGTGGTCCCTGCGACTGGGACAAAGAATGACCCTCAAACTACCCTGTCCTAAGACCAGCAGGGGACAAGTCCATGGTGCCTCTCGCCACACTTGATGGCCCTTCACTGTCGTGCCTGGGCCCATCTTCCCCTGTCTGCCCTCCGTCACACCCCCAGTGGGTCTCCCCAGACACCAGCTGGCAACTGCCACCCTCTTCTTTGGAAATGCTTCCCATTCTCCACGGCTGTGGGCACGTCACATTTTCCTGGGAGCCCTTCGAGGACTCTCCTGATCCTCAAAACTGTTAACATTTGAACTCCCTGTGTAGCATGCCCAAGTAATCCTAACACCCCAGCCGCAACAGAGAACTCACACGCAGATGAGGTACATATTTCAGCCGGAGACCTGCACCTTGATGAAGGCGTGAGGAGGTGGGGTGTTCTGCCCCACCTCACACACCCTGTTGCTCACTCATCACCATCTTGTTCTTTCAAGGCTCACTTCCTACCAGCAGCCTCCACCCCAGCCGCCCAGTTCGGGGTCACTGTCTCACGGGGCCCACCCTCTAGGTGACCACTAGTTTAGTGACCTGGCGGGAGTGAATCTGTTGAGGGTAAGCCCTCATTTGATCTTCCTTTCTGCATTGTGTCTGCTGCTAGTGTGCGAATCCCAGAGACTCATGGAATGTTTGTTGAATCCACAAGCCTCCGAAGCAATTGTTTGGCAAGAGAGACAGGAAAAAGCGCAGGGCCAGGTAATCCAGTCTGCATTCCAAAACAAAAGCGAAGGCCTGTGCACGGCGGCCTCCCTCCCTTCTGTCTCCCCTTGACCCAGAGGGGCCACCCTAAACCCTACGGTCTTTGGAGAAACCGAAGCTGTCAGTCTGTGGCTCTGTCAATCACAAGCCCCTCACAAAGACTCAGACTCATTAGGAGGGGAAGAAAGACTTTAAGAAAATGTTGTCAAAAAGAATCAATCCAGTTAGACATTTGAAAGTAAGATGTGTGTCAGCCTCCATGAGAAGGTCTCCCTAATGCGGGCCGTCCCTCCTGGTCTCCAGCAGGGCCACGGAGCTCCGAGCTTGACTGTTGTGAGCTCCGAGGCTGTCCGTCCAGGCCTGGCTATGTGAGCAGAGGGCAGGCAGCAGGTAAGAGAAGGACGATTGGGGTGGTGAGGCCAATTGAGAGTGGACTCTGGGTTTCTCGCTATTCTATTCATTTCTCCTTAAGTGGAGGAAGAAAGGGAGCCGTGCACATTTTGATGGCGTTGGGTCTTTTCAGTACCCTTGATCTTCCTAGTGACCCTCCAGTCTCGCTATTATAACCCGCATTTTTGCTGTTCAAGATACTCTTTAATTGCTTAAGGACATGCTTCTAGCTACAGGCATCCCTTGGCCACCCCTTTCTATGAATTCTATGGCAAAAAGACCAAAAGAGAGACAAATAGAAGTTAACAACCCCTCCCCCTTTAGCACAGGGGAGCTTCCCAGCTGTATCTTCAACTTTTAACACACTCCCTTTAAGTCAGGTCGGAGGTGGGATGAGGAGGTGATGAGGAAGGTGCTGGCAGGTGGTGGGTGCCGCCCCTGTGGATTCAGCTACATCATTCGGGCCCACCCAGGTCAATAGCCAAGGGGCGGCGGGAGTCATTCTTCCCAGGGAAAAGTTAGTTAATAAATCTGAGACCAAATGATGGTTTGAAATAAAAGGACAATTTCATGAAACTTCAGAATAAAACCCAACCAGTGGAGTGAAAACACATTAAGTGGTTTCTTCTTATATTGGTCCTTTGGGGACTCAAATCGCTACATGTTAGGAATCTAGACAGCAGCTGACATGGCGGGGTTCAAGGGCTGGGAAAACACCCTGTTCTGTTTCCCTGCCTCGGTGAGCCCTTCCAAACCTCCCTACCGGTCATAAATCCACCCATCAGAGGTGATTCTGGTCTCAGACGTTTATGTTTGTGCCATACAAACACCTTCAGCAAAAATGGGCCAGGTGTCTTCAGTCATTTGAGCACCAGCGTCCACGAGTTTCTTAAAGTAGGAAAGTAGGCGGAGATGAGGTAGGCGGGGGATTAAATCCGGAAGGAAGGGCAGGAAGAGACAATGGCCTCAAGTCCTCAAGGAGTAGAACTCCAAGGGACCAAAAACTGATCTGAGATCCTTCTTCCCTCTCCTAATTTACAAAATTAAATGACTTCTTATTCATCACTCACCAGGAGACAATCCAGTAGGCTTCCAGGCAAGGCAGCTTGAAAATAGTGGCCAGCCTGACAGGGGCTCTGGGCGCCTTCCCCATCGGGCCGTTCCCCTGAGCATGCACCGGCCCCCTGGGCTGCTGGGGTATCCAGGGGCATCCAGGATGCTGGGGCTTCCCTTGTCCTCATGAGGAGGTGACCCAATGCCTGCTCATTTCTGGAAGGGTGGTAGTATTGGTGGTAACTGTTTGTGATCTTTAAATTAAAATTTAAGGTGAAGTAAATGTATTTTAATCTTTCATTTTATATTTTTAATTTTATTTATTAATTAAAATGTTTAAAATTTTAATTAAAATGTTTAAATTTTATGTTAAATTTTTTTATTAAATTTTTAAATTTTTTTTATTGAAAACAATTTTTTTAGCAACCCCATTGAGCATCCCGGACACTGTGCATAGGACACTGGGCACACACATTGTAGAGTGCCCGGGTCATCCCTAAGCCTCCTGCAGACTCGGAACTGAAAAGGAATGTAGAGTTCTGTAAACATCCTTCAGTTCTGCGTAAAGAAGAGGGTCCCTGCTAATTGGCCACCAAGTGGTCACTTCTTTTTTTTTTTTTTAATTTTATTTATTTATGCACATAAGAGCTGGGGTATAGACCGGAGGTGTGGGGCGTGCTGAGAGGATTCACCACAGACACAGTGGGGAACAGAACAGGCAGATCAAGGAAGTATACTGCTGAGGGAGCAGCGGGGAGACAGGAGAGGTCTGCTGCACCCTGTGGGTCACCCCCCTGGCGGGGAATCGAACTCGTGCTGCGGTGGCTGCCTATAGCTTGACAGTGCTGAGAATTAACCATTTGTGCCACCAGACAGGCTGCAAGTGGTTACTTCCGTTGAGGGGACTCACTACTCTGCAAGCCGCCTGTGCCCCGTTTAGCTAGTAGGCTGTGAGATTCGGCATTAAATAAGGATGAGTTTTCTGTTTGCCCATAAAAACATTTACTCGTTCAACATTCCAAGCACTGGGCTAAACGCTCTGTACATTTATGTTACAGGAATGGCTTACAAAGAAAGAAACTGAGGCTCAGAGAGACAATTTGCTGAGGATCTTAGTGCTAGAAAGGGTCGTGAGTCTGGGATGTGGTCTCAGGGCCACTGACTCTCAGGCTCCCCTACACTTGACTTCCAATCTCTCATTGTCCTGGTGACAGGGCAAAGCTACTTCCTCTCCCCAAGTGTATCAGTCAGGCTTCCCCAGAAAAACAGAATCGGTGGAATATATATTCATGAAAAGAGAAGCCCCTCTCTCTCTCACTGATAGATGAATATGTTCCAATTATATATATATTCCAAAATGCATATTCCAATAAAAATGTAAAAATAATCATATATATGAATATCTGTTCGTACACATGTGAATATTCTATATATATTCATATAGATATATTCATATAGATATTCATCCACCCCCACACACACATGCATACACACATACATGTCACCTGCTCACCACGCCCCAAGCCTCTCCTCACCTTTCTAGACAAAATAGCCCATTCCAAATGCCGTGTCACCTTCTTCAAGCACAGTGGGAGTCAACAGCCACTGGGCATTTTCTGGCCTCACCCTGGGCCTGGGTCTTGGGCTGTGGCACAAACATTTCACCCTTCAAACATCCTCCCTGTCTGTGCTCTCTTCCCAGCAGGACTCTGGTCCTAGGAAGGGTGTTCAACTGACTGTCGAATGAATGAATGAGTGAATGAATGAATGAAGCTCTCCATGAGCGATACAAATTATGTGCCCTATATGAAAAGGAAGCTGTTCATATAATCAATGTTACTTCCTCTGAGGGAAAAGTAGAAAGATTGGGATGTAATTATTAGCCAAGTATAGAGATAACCCAGTGATATTCTTGGTCGCTTTCATTTGGGAACTATCTTTTAGTCCTCATTGGAGAAGTAGTAAATGGGAGGCCTAAAACACAGTATTTTTATTTTCTTATTCTTAGAAGTCTAAATCAGTTGCCAGATTTTTTTTTTAAATGAAGTAATAGTTTGAATTTCCAATTTCTTTGGAAAAGCTGAGGATCCGGCCAACTATTTCTTCCTGGCAGAAGCAGGCGAGAGTTGGATATTAGCTCCTTTAAAGGTCTGGGTGACCCCCCACCTGCCCCAAAGCCCTCTGGGACCCAGTCTGTCCCAGGAGGTGTGTGCATCCAGGGACCCCTTTCTGGAGCCCTGAACACAGCAAAACCAAGTGAGTCCACTCATTCATGCTGTCCCCTGGTGCCTGTGCAAATGGCCAGTCCTGAGATACATCAATTTTCCGTCTCATCTTTAGGGAGACTGGGGGGGTCACCTACATCATCCAAGGGTGCTTGGGAATCACAGAGTGGGTGACACAGAATTGCTGAGTGACAGCGTTGTGCTCCAACTTTGGATACTTGTCTTCTTCCTTGATTTTTTTTTGCTCAAATCATTTTACTTTGTTGTATTAGAACTTTTATTAAATGGCATTACATACAATATAGACGTTTCGGGGGTGCATTACTATATATCCATGTCCATACATACTGTATTCAGGTGCCCACTAAGAGTCCCCGTCCGTCCTCCTGCAGACCACCCACCCTTTAACTCGCCTCTTCCCTTCTGGTAACGCTAAAGTGGCTTTATCATCTCAAAGGCTGCTTTTGTTTTGTTTAGTTCATTCTCTTGCTGTGATCCTTATGCCCCACTTAGGAATGAAATCACAGGTGTCTGTCCTGCTCCTGACATTTCGCCAGTGTCATGCCCTTTTAGGTCCGTCCCGATGATGCAGCTGGCAGGACTCTTATTTATTATCAGCTACACGGGCTAAAGTCGGGACATTGCCCCCTCAAGAGTGGAAGTACCCACTGTATGGCAATGTCCCTCACGTCTTCGTTATCCAGTCATCTGTTGGTGCACATTTCAGTTGCTTCCAGGTCTCGGTTATTGTAAGCAAACTGCAGTAAACAGGGGCACGTGTTCCCCTCAAATTCACTGTCTTCTGGACTTTTCAGGCAAGTCCCCAGAAGTGTGATAACCAAATGATTAGCGTGGGCTAGAGACTTCTTTCCGAGTCAGATGACTTCCAGTTTCATTCCGTTTGGGGATTGTTGAGATTTCTTGAGAGCAGCCCCTCGCGCGGAGCCAGACCACAAAAAGCCCCCTGCTGGACTCTCTCCAGTGTCCCCAGGGCCCTGCTCCCACCTGTACCTGCATGAGCATGAAGGCAACTCCCCTGGGCATGCCCCACACCCCCACCCTCGCTGGCCTCGTTCTGCAGAAGCCACGGGCTAGTTTCCAGGAAGCCCAGGGCAGCCCAGTTCTGGCAGTGCCTGTGCGGCTCTCCACCCTGGCACAGGCTTGCTGGTTAAATCCCCAGGGGGGCTTCACAGCGGGGTGCCTGCCTGAGGTTCAGTTCTGAGGCAGGCAGGAGCGTGGGGGCCCTGTCACCAGTGCGTTTGCAATCCCCGCGTTCCTCAGATGGCCAGGTCCACCCATGTTTTGCTTGATGCTGCTGAACTGCTTGCAAGATGATTTCTTTGAGCTTCCTTCCCTCCTTCGTTGAGCAGAGGGGGTAAGTCAGGGAAAGCTTTTATGTGGCTGCTGCGTTTCCAAATGTTCCTTGGTGATTGACAGCCCTGCATTCAGCTTCCCATTATGGCACCTGCAGATAATGAGATATCTTGAAACCGGAATTTCCAGCGCCTGCGCCTGCCAGGAATATTATCATCAGTGTTCTAGCCAGCCATTCCTGCTGCACACATGACCTCTACAAATTTGAAATGTCAAAACACAGCCAGGAGCTGAAACCAAGGCCACTCCAACCCAAGTGGCTATTGGCTCTTGAATGTACAGGAAGGAGTCCTTTATCTCGGGAGAATTATGGATTACCAGAAAATAGTGATCTTTTCATTAACCTATATGTATTTAGAATGTAGATAATGTCTGTCTTTTGTCACGCTCTTAGCCTGTGTGCGGGGAGACTGGAGGAATGGACGCCTCGGTATTTCCCCAGTGAGTCTGAGGCTGTGTGGGGTCTAATCCCAGCTATTGAGTCTCTTTGTCCTGGGTGGTAATTTGGGACCTCAGTTCTGTGGCTACTGTAACCACTTAGCTCTTGTGTTCTTAATATCAGAGAGTTTAAAGGTGGAAGGCACTTTGACTGTAAAATTGGTATTTTTAAAAAAGATTTACTGATTTATGCATACAGAACTGGGGTACAGGCCAGAGGTGCAGGGGTGGTGAGAGGACTCACCAGAGACAGAATGGGGAGCAGAACTGGCCGACTAACAAGTCCACTGCTGAGGGGAGCAGCGGGCGGGTCAGGAGAGGTCTGCTGTGCCCTGTGGGTCAGCTCCGGGGCAGGCGGGGATCGAACTCATGCTGAAGTGGCTTTAGCTTCTTAGTGCTGTGCTGTAACCCGCTGCGCCACCAGGGAGGGCCCATAAAATTGGTATTTTAATCTCCTGCGAGAATGCTTGTTTCATTCCCCTTCCACTTGGGGTAGAAGGAGCACCCTTGGGGCTACACAAACTTCCCTGTGATGGATCATACCCCCATCTCTGCCACTCACCACTGGAACTAGATGTCTCCCGGCCAGGATGGCGGGTAGGCTGAGGACATTGGCGAAGGCCATTCCCAGGGACCACTTGCTGGGCTGGGCCTGATGGGAGGGCAGGCTTCTGCCAGGCTTGAGCTAGAAGGCAGTGAGGGTGGTGGAGGCACAGGCTTTCCATGCGGATGGGTCTGTGTGAACAAGGCCCCGAGGCCCGAGGCGCACCGTAGTGGGACAGGCTGGGACCTGGCTAGCGACCTGAGCCCTATCAGGGCTCAGACCACAGCCAGAAGCGGCACCTGCCCCAAACCCTGAGGACACTTGGGAGCTGGGAGACAGGGTCCCTCTTTGTTCTTGTCATTGTCTCTCTACAGTCAAGTGAAAGCATAGTCACAGTAGGGACAGGTAAGAGCGCAGCTCCCAGGAGAGCTGGGTCTGGGCACTCCCTGCGGCCTCAATGGCTGTCCTGTGGGAGGGGGGGGCCTCACCCCAGCAGGAGTGAGGCAGATGGCTTAGGAGAGTTCATCAGCGGCCGTGCTGATGCCACACACAGCTTTCTGGAATGTCAGGTCAGAAAAAAAAAAGAACTGCTAAAATTATTCTATTAAAAATGCTTACTAGTAGGCCCGCCCTGGTGGCACAGAGGGGTAAGGCGCAGCAGCGCAAGCTGGCCGCAGCCGCTGCAGTGCAAGTTTGATCCCCACCTGCCCCGGAGGTGACCCACAGGGCGCGGCAGACCTCTCCTGACCCGCCCGCTGCTCCCCTCAGCAGTGTACTTCGTCGATCTGCCTGTTCTGCTCCCCGCTCTGTCTCTGGTGAAGCCTCTCGCCGCCCTTGCACTTCTGGCCTGTACCCCAGTTCTGTATGTACAAATATATATATATTTAGTGTTTAAAAGTAAAGTCCTTGATTAGTGAGTACCCCCTGGTCCCTTACATTCCTGCTATGAGTCAAGCCATCCGGTATTTTTCTTTTACTTTGGGACTTATTTCCATTCTTAACAACAGTGTGACAGAATTTCTCTTTTTCTGAGTCATCATCAGCACTTGTTTTGGGGAACTTTTTAATATGTACCGTTGTCACTGGTGTGAGATGATAGCTCTCTGTGGTACTGACTTGTATCTCCCTGATCAGAAGTCATGGCTCAGCTGATCCACTTATTAGCCTCCTGGATATCCTCTTAGATCTCCTGCTCATTTATTTATTAATGATTTTTTTTATTTTATAAATACATTTTTTACATTATTCTTCATTTTGTACATTTTTTCATCTCAGTTGTAATCCCCATGGACTTCCCACCACCACTTATCGGTAGGAATTGCTTTTGACACTACTGCTCATTAATTGTGATTTTTTTTTTTTGATTGTGGAGTAGTAATTTCTTTCTAATATATATATTAGATATCTATCCCTTGTCTATTGTGGAACTTTTTCTCCCATTAGCTAGGATTCTTTTTAATATACTCATATTTTCTCTCACTGTGTAGGAACTTTTAGTTTGAGGTAATACCAATTGTTTATCTTCGTTTTTATTTCCCATGTCCTGGGAACCCAAAAAACTTTATCATTGATATCATGAAAAATGGAGCCAATGTTTTCTCTCATATATTTCAATATTTCAGTTCTTATGTCTAAATCCTTAATGTATTTTAAATTTGCTTTTATGGATGGATTCAAAGAGTGACCCAAATCCATTCTTTTACATGTGGTATTCCAATTTTCCCAGCACCATTTGTTAAAAAGACTTCTTTTCCATTCTGATGGCCACTGATGCTTCCTCATAAGTTAAATATTGATATATTCATGAATTTATTTCCAGACTTTCTAAAAGTATACTTCAATCATCTATGTATCTGTATTTAGACCAATGCCATGTTGTTTTAAGTACTATTGTTTTGTATCTAGTTTAAAAATAAGTAATGTGATCCCTTCACTTCTTTCTTTTTTTTTTCCAGTATTGCTTCTTTTTCTCAGTAGAGTGTTTCCATAAAAGGTTTGATTTCTCCATTTTTAAAAAGATTTGTTTGTTTATTCATACAGAACTGGGGCACAGGCCAGAGGTGCAGGGGCCGTGAGAGGATTCACCAGAGACAGAGTGGGGAGCAGAACAGGCGAATGCTGAGGGAGCAGCGGGCGGGTCAGGAGCGGTCTGCCGTGCCATGTGGTCACCTCCAGGGCGGGGATTGAACTTGCACTGAAGCGGATGCGGCCAGCTTGCAGTGCTGTGTCCTAACCCGTTGCACCATCAGGGAGGGCCCCTCATTTTCTTCATTTTAATGCAGATTTTGGTAAACTTATGGATCACTTTAAGTAAAAGTCATTTTGATTATGCTGATTCTTCTCCTGAATATGGAATGTCCTTCTATCTCCTTGTATCATATGCTAAATCCCTTAATGACATAAAATGTTGCCTAGCCTTCTTTGCATAAGCCCTTCGCTAACTTAGTTAATTGTGAGGTATCTGATTCTTTTAAAGTAATTGTGCATTAAAATATGTTCCTAACTTCTTTTCATGTGTTCTTTATAAATGAATGTGGTAAAATTTTGTATGTTGATGTATTAACCTGGACTTTCATTGTATTCATTTATTGTTTCTAATAGCTTTTTGATGGAGTTTTTAGAGTTCCCTATGTATTTTCATATCATCTACAAATAATGAGTTTCACTTCTCTGTTGTCTTGGATTCTTTTCTTTTCCGTTGTTGTCTGATTGCTCTTGTTGAAATCTCTACTATTAAATTAAGCAGAAATGTGGACAGTGGGTATCCTTGGCTTGTTTCTGGTCTTACAGAGAAAGATTTCATTTTTTCAGTATTAAATAGGCTTGTGATATATGTCCTTTATTATGTTGAAGCAGATTCCTTCTATTCCCATCTTGCTAAGAGTTTTTACCATAAATGTGTGCTAAATCTTATCAAATGATTTCTCTGCATTTATTGATATTACTACATGATTTTTATCATTACTTTTGCTGATATAATGTACTACACTGATTGATTTACGTATATCAAACCATCCTGTAACCCTAGGATAAGCTCCACTTGATAATGATGTCTAATCCATGTGATATATTGTTGGATTTGATTTGCTAGTGCTTTGTTGGTGGCATTTGCATAAATATTCATTAAGGATCTTGGTCTCTAATTTTCTCTTTTTGTGCTATCTTTATCTAGTTTGGTATTAAGGTAATGTTGCCATCATTAATATATTATATAGTGTTCCCCTTTTCTTGGAAATAATTTGTGCAAGATGGACATAACTTTTTCATTAAAAGTCTGACAGAATTTGGGGCTCCCCGGTGGCACAAGGGGTTAAGGCTCAGCACTATGAAGCTATCAGCAGCCACTGCAGCACAAGTGCAATCCCTAGCCAGGAAGCTGACCCACAGGGCACAGCAGACCTCTCCATCTCAAACACTGCTCCCCTCAGCAGTGTCTTTCAGCTGAGCTGCTCATTCTGTATCCCACTCTGTCTCACCACCCTGAACCTCTCAGCTACACCCAGCATTTGTATGCATAAATAAATACATCTTCTTTAAAAAAAAGAGTTTGATCGAATTTGTAAAGCCATCTGAACCTGGCCTTTTTTTTGGGGGGGGGGGTTGGAAGGGAATTTTGTGTTGATATCCCAATGAAGTATAATTCATATTATGGCGGACAATGGAAAAATAATAGTTCTGTTCTCATTATAATGATTTTAGGGGCAACCCCCTGACAGGAAGAAATGAAACTGGGTTGTGGGTTTTCAAAAATAGGTGTAGGTACATTCCCCAGCACCTCATCACCTCCCACTTAGGTATTTCTTCTCTGAGAACCCAGTCGCCAGTTGACAGGCGCATTCTCATCCAGGTGTTGCACTGTGATCCGCCCTCACACAGACCAAAACCAGCAGTGACCAAAGCAGTACCTTGGAGCGACTATTCCAAGAAGCGCTACATGACTGACGGACCTTGACTGAAAGGTCCAGGACTGTGGTCACCATCAGCGCAGGTGACCACAAGGTTGCCGCCCACGAGGGAGAAGCAGGTCACTGGCATGTGGCCAACAGCCGATGGGGCCCCCTCCTACTGCCTCCTGGAGACCTACCTTGTCTTTAAGGAGAGTGGACAGGGACCCTCTGCTGGCCTGAGAAGATGAGGTGGTCCAGGCCAGCTCTCCCACCATGGGCCCGGGTAGCAGGTCCCTTCTCGGCACTGGAGGCACTTTGGACCCAGCAGTCTTTCCTGTCAAGTCAAGTGCAGCCAACAGGCCAGGGTGAATTTACCACATTCCTTCTCTACTTTTGCTCCAAAAGCATGCTGGATACCACGTCAATATGCGTAATACTGGATGAGGGCTTTCTGTGTCAGATACACCACCGTCACCCCCAAACACATGCGCACACACAAACTGCCTTTTCAGACACGAAAGGGTCTGCCAGGGAAGTCACTCAGCTCGCCGATAGGGCCAGCTGGATCTAACAAAAGAGCCACGTCCCCACTGGGTAATTGGCATTACCCTAGGATTCCTGGAATGTGTTTTTTTTTTTCTTCTTCTTCTTCTTCTTCTTCTTCTTCTTTTTTCTATTCCTCTTAGCAGCACCTGAGGACAAAGAGAAACTTGAAGAAAACCAAACAGGTCTCAGGTGATAAAATTGGAAATATCTCCGGAAAGGTACACAATTGTGCTCTAATACAGAACAAATGACTCATTGTAAGCTGTTCTCACCTCCTGCCCTATTATCTGGGGGGGCTTGGGCATGCCACTTCAGAGTGGGAAGTGAGGGAATGTCTCCCCAGAGCCAGAACAGGCAGGCCCGGAAGGGCAGGCATGTGGCAGGTGGGCAGGACTGGGAGAGAAAATGGCCGCCCTGTCGCCAGGCCCTTCTGTGTGGCCCTGTCAGAAAGGAGCCAGAGCTCCGGCCGGGGTTGGCTGGCTCCTGCTAAGTACTAATGCCGCGGTGGCGGTGGGGGACAGGAGATGAGAGACAGAACAGGGCAGCTGCAAATGAAAATCACCCTGGGGAAGGTTACAACTAGATAAAGTTTTCGACAATAAGATTCCAGAGACTGCTGACGGGAGCAAAGCTCAATATTTTAGTCTCAGTACAAATTTGCTTCAATCTTATACAACTCCCATGCAGCATTGCCCACAGCTGCATGCTGTAAACAACAAACAAATCTATTTCCATCAGCCCTGCTGATGCCAGGAGAAAAGTGCCTGAGCATAAGACATGCACAGATGCAAAGCCTCACCTGAGCCTGGCGCTGCCCTCCACTTGGCCTCTCTAACTTAATATCGTTGTTACAAAGCTATTGGTCTCCTGGTAGCAGGCTGGCTCAATGCAGCGCCTCTTCTTCCAGCTAATCTGACAACTCCGATCCAAGAAGCATCAAGGGCCCAATTAAGAAGACACATCTTATCAAGGAGCTTATTTTGCATAACAGAATACAAATGACGAATAAAAATTTAATGTTTAATAACTTAGTACAAAGAGGGCTGTTGATATAGAATGCCTGGAATTTTTATGGAGGCTGTCAGACTTGTGATAAAACTGTTATATAGGAACACTTGGCAAAAAACAGCGTAGAATTTTTCAGTAATGGTGTGTGCATGATATTGCATTAATTCTTGATAGGGAACTAACTGTAAGCCTGGGAATCAGCCAGTCTGAGTTTCAGTTTAAGATGGCGCACGCATGTGTGTGTGTGTGTGTGTGTGTGTGTGTGTGTTCATGTGCGCACGCGTGCACACAGTCCATCCAGAACTCTCTGAGGGTGTGACCAGACATGCACACATCTTTATTGAAAAGGATCTAAGTGCATTTTAATGAGGACTTTACTGAAAACATGCTCAGCCCTACAGAAGGCATTTGGGTGTGTCTTCCCGAGCCCAGAAACTACAGGAAATGAGTGGAGTCATTTTCTGTGCTAACCACCTAATGGGATGGGGACCTGATACAGGATTATTACCAGCTCTGCTTTGGCACATCCAACTCTCCTTCCTGTATATTCGGGTGAGTAGGTGGTGTCGGGCGGCAGGACACGAGAGGTTGCAAAGAGATAGAAGTTGTGTTATTTTTCTGGTCTTGAACATTTGGTCCCAGGAAAATAACGAATAAAGACACACAAAGGAAATCATGCCTGAGCTTGAAATAGTACTTTACTCTCTGCAGAGTTTTCCCATTGCCTTGGCCAACAGTGCATTCACTCGAGTATTTATGCATGTGGCTGGGCTCTACGAAGAAGGCTAGAACAGTGAGCTCCGAAGACAGGACAAGACACAGGAGCTGCCTGCAGCCATGGAAGAAGTCACCCAACTTCATGAAACCCCCACTTCTTCAGCTGTGAATCTCTGACCCTGACTGAGAAGCCACTGGAGGCATTCAACTTGGATTCTGAAACACCCCAAACTCTCCACACACTTGAGCTACTTTCATGCATCTCAGATCCATGACACCCACTTCCAAGTCTTAGCCCAGAGGAGTACTGGGGTGCACAGCCTCAAGACCTTGAGACTGAGCTGGGAAAACCCCTTTGACATTGTGACTGTGACTCCATGAAATCTGAATGTACATCAAGAGAAAGTGAGCTTTAGATCATCCCTGGTGGAGCAGGGGTTATGTCTCAGCACTATCAATCTACCACCAGTCGCTGCTTTCGATCCCTGGCCAGGGAACTGCCCCACATGGCTCAGCAGACCTCTCCTGTCTTGCCTGCTGCTCCCCTCAGCAGTGTATTTCAGTGGATCTGCCTGTTTTGCTCCCCACTCTGTCTCTGGTGGATTTTCTCAGAAAATCCCCCTGCCCCTCTGGCCTGTATCCACACTTTTTGTATGCCTAAATAAATAAATCTTTAAAAAAAAGAGAGATGGGGCCCTCCCTGGTGGCACAGTGGGTTAAAGCAGCACTAAGAAGCTAAGATCACTTGAGCACGAGTTTGATCCCCACCCCAGAGATGATCCACATGCCGCGGCAGACCTCTCCTGACCCACCCGCTGCTCCCCTCATTAGTGTAATTTGTCAGTCAGTCTGTTCTGCTCCCCACTCTGTCTCTGGCGAATCCTCTCACTGCCTCTGCACCTCTGGCTTGTACCCCAGTTCTGTATGTATAAATAAATAAATCTTTAAAAAAAGAGAGAAAGAGAGATGTTTAGCCTCATCTCCAGTAGTGTTTCATTTTTAAAGTGCCCATTAACAAGGGCTACAATCCTGCAGAATTAGAGTAGAACTCTTTGAGAGGGACATATCACATCTACGTGAGTACAAGATGAATTCGTACTCAGCCTGTCCTATTGCATTAGTGTTATTACATTGAATACTAAATGGATTTCTAATGATTGGACACTCAAAGGAAAATGTGACCCCTTTAGAGCAGTCATCAAACTATAGGCAGGTTGGAAATTAAGGGGTGGAAGGACTTGTCCTAGGGACAAGAATGCCAGACGGAACAAAACACTACCCTGAGTATTATTGTGTAGGCCACTGAAAAATAAAATTTACTTGATGAGGCTAATATTCAAATGCAAACTTATATTAGAATTAACACTACAGGAGGGGCTTTTTCATGGAGGATTTGTTACAGAAATAAAATCTATCGGTAACACTTTCATTGTTCCATCATTATGAACTCATTTGGTATTCACTGTAATAGCACCGATCATAATGAATTTGTTTGATATTCATGTGGCTCTCCCACACATTAACAGAGTTTCGGTTATAACTCACCAGCCAATGAGCATTAGTTAATGCTGACTTTAGACCAATCGCCACGCCCCTTGAGTGGCCTCAAGCTAAGTGTTAGGGGCATTTTGATACCACCGGATCCTTCTGGTCTGTCCCGGTCCTCAGGCCACCCTCAAGCAAGAGAACTTTCTGGGTCCCAAATTGGACGTAAAAAAGAGTGATCTTGGTTTAATGTTTGAAATCCACAGAAAGCAGAGATCTGTTCCCTGACGCAGAAGCCCTGACAGACATACATGGTGGAAGGTGGGTTCTTAACCCCGATCTGAGAGCCCGGTTAAGGCCGCGTGAAATACCGCTTCTTGTGGACACCTGTCCACTCTCCAAGATAATTTTGCACTGAACATCTCAGGGCGCTGCGTTGGTGTTTGTGACAGTGCTTACCCTGCCTAGTGCCGGGTACACTCACTCGCTGGCCAGCCAGAAGCCCGGTCCTGGAGAAAACAATAAACAACTGATTCTGGCCCAGATATTTCATCACTGGTTAGGGAGCCGGGCAGGGAGTCTGTTAAACTCTGGCAACTAAACCACAATGCCCCTGGATTCAGAGGAAGGTTGTCCCCAGCCCACGAATGAATGTCCAGGGATGGTCTCAGCCATTCCGTGACTCTTTCTGGTTCGACTGCCCAAATATCTAACACTTACCCAACAGCTTCAGAAAACTTCTAAGCCAGTATCATTTTTCTTTAGAGCAGATGCTACTCATGGTTGTCCCGAAGAGTATCTGTTTAATTTCAGTCCTTGGCAAACGCTGACCTCTGGGCGAAAGTCACAATACGCAAATCCACACATCTTTTATCTTCAGTGCCTTTTGCAAAGACAGGCCCTTTAACTGCAGGCCTAGGGTGAAGGAACAGTGAAGCAGGCTTGTTTGTGCCTTTCAGGGATATGTAAACCCAGGCCATGTGGATGCCTCCTGCCTTCTAGAAAGAGACAGGCTGGGCTTGAAGGCCATTTCTCCCCTCACTGACTGGCAGTCTCTGGGCAAGTTCCTTGCTCGACAGCAATCAACTGGCCCACTGCTCCTAAAAATAAACTCTTCCATCTGTAAAATAGAGATAAAAAAGGTAAAAAGTTCTCATCGCAGCTCCCAATTCAGTGTGAGCGCCAATGCCATTAAAATGTAGGATCATGGCATCCAGTCCATGCCTGAGCTGGAAAATGGGCTTTCCTGCTCCAGCCCACCACAGGGGGAAGATTGGCTCAGGCTCTTCTATCCTCCTGCCTCGAAGTCCTCCCCGCCTCGCCTGATGTCAGCACCTAATGAGGAGCCATTAAAGCAGAAGGGAGGAGGACTGTGCCCACTTTCCCCTGCAGAGCTGGGGCACCAACCTCCCCAGGCTGGGCAGCAAAGGACAGTGATGTCCTTGTGCTTTATTCTCCTGCTCTATTGTGGATGCTTTTCTCTTCAGCCCGGCAATGATCTCTGATTTCAGGCAAAATAACATTAGCCAGTGCATTAGAATAGAAATAAACACCTTTCGGCATGATCGCATTAAGTCAGGAGAGGGTGGATGTCACATCCTCTGGGGTAGAACTGTCCTCACAGGAAGGCAGGTCCACATAGTTGAGGTGCCCCACACCCCAGCAGGGAGGCAAGCAGACAAAGAAGCCGAGTCAAGTTGTCTTGGCTCCTGCCAGGCTCTGTCCTGGCCCCTGGCCAAATGCCAGAGTGCCCAGCACCCACCCTGCTGGTGTGGCCCAGTAAGCTAGCATAGCTTAGGGTGAGAGCAATACACGCCCAGCACATTGTAGACACCGTTCTCTGGGGCCCAGGGACTGCACCCCCAAACCACCAACAAGTCA